GCTCCCTCCTTACAGGCCACGGGGCTTTCAAAGCCTCTCCCACCACTCCCTGCGCCGGGAAGGATTAACGAGCCACATCCCACTATCCCACCCCTCCGCCCCCATCAGCTGAAGCACCTGTCCCAACTCCCACGGCCCTGCTCAGGGTGTTTTGGGGTTTCACCCCTCAGCCTACCCCACTTCCCATCTCCTGCGCCCGGTGCACGGTGTTAACCGCCCCGAAGCTCCGCATCCAGCAACATCCACTTCACCAGGAGATGCTCCAGCCGAGCTTCCCGCCAGCCAGAGATTTTCACAGCGCAGGGAACTGCCCCACTTCAGCTCGGTAGCGCTGTGACATTTCCACCGGGTGCAAGGCTGGAACAAAAGCACAGCCCGGATTCCAAGCCAGCTCCAGTTACAAACGTGCTTCCACCTTTTTCCAAGGGCAGAGAGTGACAGCACAAGGGGTGATGGGTTTAAACTGACAGAGGGTGATTGAGAGGGGATATCAGGAAGGAATTCTCCCTGGAGAAGGTGGGGAGCACTGGGACAGGTTGCCCAGAGAAGCTGTGGATGCCCCATCCCTGGAAGTGTCCAAGGCCAGGCAGGATGAGGCTTGGAGCAACCTGGTCTAGCGGAAGGTGTCCCTGTCCATGGCAGGGGGTGGCACTGAGTGGGCTTTGAGGTCCCTTCCCACCCAAACCTGGCGATTCTAGCATTAACACACTCCCAGGGCTGTGACCCACCAGGGCTGGTGCGGGCTGCTGGCCCGTGACCCGCTGTGGATTGCCCTCCGGCTGTTATTCCCCACAAGAACAGCGGGGGCAGGACCTGCAATTACCAGGCACAGCAGCACCACCAGAGCTTCTTGGCTGGCAACAACGGCAGTGACACGCACCCTTATGCAAGGCCTGCGCCTGGCGGGGAGCGCGGGCTCGTTACGAGAGCGCTTACACAACCCCAGGAAGCCGCAGCCGGAGGATCAGCGATGCTCGGCAGGCACGTGCAGGCCTTGTGCAAGGCGGCTGGGCAATGCCTTCCTACGTGGAAGCTACATAATTATAGTTTATTAGAGAGCTGGAGCCGGCTAATGACATCCATAGCTGCACGCAACACGAGACACCAACTTCTGTGGATGCAACAGCTTTATTGGAATGAGCAAGTGCAGAGAAACTCTGACTCGGAAGCAACAACCTGTCAGTTACCACCCCGCAGGCGCAGCACCAAGTGCAGGGTGGATTCCTTCTGGATGTTGTAGTCAGACAGGGTACGGCCATCTTCCAGCTGCTTCCCAGCGAAGATCAGCCTCTGCTGATCCGGGGGGATGCCCTCCTTATCCTGGATCTTGGCCTTGACGTTCTCAATGGTGTCACTGGGCTCCACCTCCAGGGTGATGGTCTTGCCCGTCAGGGTCTTGACAAAGATCTGCATCCCACCACGCAGGCGCAGCACGAGATGTAAGGTGGATTCTTTCTGGATATTGTAGTCGGAGAGGGTACGGCCATCTTCCAGCTGCTTGCCAGCAAAGATCAGCCTCTGCTGATCTGGAGGAATGCCTTCCTTGTCCTGGATCTTGGCCTTGACGTTCTCAATGGTGTCACTGGGCTCCACCTCCAGGGTGATGGTCTTGCCCGTCAGGGTCTTGACAAAGATCTGCATCCCACCACGCAGGCGCAGCACGAGATGTAAGGTGGATTCTTTCTGGATATTGTAGTCGGAGAGGGTACGGCCATCTTCCAGCTGCTTGCCAGCAAAGATCAGCCTCTGCTGATCTGGAGGAATGCCTTCCTTGTCCTGGATCTTGGCCTTGACGTTCTCAATGGTGTCACTGGGCTCCACCTCCAGGGTGATGGTCTTGCCCGTCAGGGTCTTGACAAAGATCTGCATCCCGCCCCGCAGGCGCAGCACCAAGTGAAGGGTGGATTCCTTCTGGAT